CCACAGCTGATCTTCTTACATGTCATCGTAGCCAGGAAAAAAGAAATTCAAAATCTGATTTAGTGGAACCCCCTGCCGTGTTGTAGGAGTGAATTGCAGAAAACCACCACATTTGGGGTTAGCTTTGCGGAAAACTACCTAGTCCCTAATTATTTGTAGAACGCACCGCGGATTCGGTAAACTTGTTGCAAATAGCACTGATGAGGTGATCCGGCCCGTTTGATCACTTTCTGACAAGTGGGGTCAGATTGTAAGAGCAAAAAATTTACACCCACACCCCTTGATCTAAAACAGAAAAGCAATCAGCCCCCACCCCTCGGGCAGAGGCGCACTGGGCGTCGGGTTCATGGCCTCCGCCGCGCTGCTTGGCCGGCGACGCTGGAGCGACGCGCTGGGCGGAGGGCCGGCGACCTCGCCGCAGCTTACAAGCACGCCGACGACCACCGCTGCCCCGCCATCCTCCTCCCATTTTTCTTTCCTTCTCCTCTGGGATGACCCGCACGTCGCCCCTACCTAGCCCAGCCGCTAGCAGCCACGGCCATGTCGACGGCGTCGGAATCCGCGGTGGCCTGTATCCCCTGCTGCTCTCCAAGCACGGCCGAGGCCATGGCCGAGCAACCGCCGGGCTCCAACCGCGCAGCGGCGCACGGGTCCGACCCGACCGACACTGTCGAGGAGCTCTTCGCAGGGACCTCCTCCACTGCGCAGCCGTCTGCGCCGGCGAGGTCGGCCTCGCCGGGGAACGCCTCCTCCTTTCCTCTCTCTGCGCGCGTCACGGGTCCGTGCGCGCGACGGCGAGATCCACAGCCATGGCAACCCGCGTCATCAATCCCGGCCAACGCGGCCTCACCTCTCGCCTTCCCGGCCGTCGCCGATGGTAGACGAGGCAGCGGTGGAGAAGAAAAGAAAAGGGAGGAGGAAGGAGATGGTAGACAGGGCAGCGGTGGTCGCCGGCGACGAGGTCGTCGGAGTGGCGCGGGGGGTGGGTAGCTCGGGGGCTCTGGCTCTCCCGATCCAGACGGGGTCGAAGCAGGGGGGCTCTGATTGCTTTTTCGTTTTAGATCCAGGGGCCTGTATGTCAAAACTTTGCCAAGTCAGCTTCTTACAATCTGACCCCACTTGTCAGAAAGTGATCAAACGGGCCAGATCACCTCATCAGTGCTATTTGCAACAAGTTTACTGAATCTGCGGTGCGTTTGGCAAATAATTACGGACTAGGTAGTTTTCCGCAAAGCTAACCCCAAATGTGGTGGTTTTCTGCAATTCACTCCGTGTTGTAGTGGTTGCATAGACTTGGTGCAGCCCAGTCCTGCAGAATGCCACTTGTGCGCGTGTGATGAGGGGCGCCGCGTGGAAATTCCAGTAACACTGATGTTGGCCAAGTCTGAAGAATGTGTGGACACTATCAGTTACCCAGTAGACGGGGCGGAAGAGTCTTCTGTCCCAATTCCAGAAATGCTGATGTGGTCCTGAAGCTGCCATTGTTCTTGTCCACTTCTTTGCTTTGTACTATATGGCAGCCCCTGTCACATACTGCCTTTATGGATCAGCACTTATCACAAATCGAGTAATTTCAGTTAATTGTAAATTATACAATTGCTTATTTACTTATTACTATTATTGATACAAGTTCCGACCGACAAGGCAAAAAAAAATTAGATGTTCAAACCACTTGAGGCCACGTCCTCTGAAGGATATCCCCCTGGGATGGGAAAGGTGAGAGAAAGAGAAAATATTACTTTCTGGGAAAACAAATCTTTGTTTGGACAACTTTGTTTCTTTTCTTAGGAAAACAGAGGACATTCCATCAAAAATCACTGAAAGCTAACTTACATTCCGATTCCAGTGCGACAAATGAGACCCAAAGAAATATGAACACAGTTTTAGTTTACAGCAACATAATTCCAGATCGGGTTTCAAGCAGCATATGGCCATGCTCTCATGAACAAAGTTCCATCATGCATGCATGCCGACAGAATATTGCAGAGCAATGGTTACATCTTATACAGATTACAAGTGACAACGACAATACAAAGACTGAAAAGTTCGAAAGATGGATCAGTGAAGAATCCGTCGCATCAGGTGCAGACATTGAAGTTCGATCACGGCATGGCAACAACGGCGGCTACCAACTACCTGGCTCTCAAGATTTCCTTCTTTTTCTTGTTCTCCAATTCCTATAATTGAGTGAATCAGGACCAAATACTCTAGTTCTCTGAATTCCAGCGAGTGAATCAGAGCCAGAAATATTTCGCACCACTGCCAGTGCTATGGCGACATCTATCATCGAGGCTTGGCATCATGGTCGAGTTTCCGGCATCATATTGCCATGCTATAATGAAGAAAATTCAGCATGCTACAGAAACTAAACAAATATGTGCAATGTTGGAGAGCCTGTCATATTCTCCCCTTTCAGAACTGCGCACCACCAAGTATCGCGAAGATACAGATATTTTTCTTCTTCTTTGCAGCTAAGAAATCGTGGTGGTTGTGGAACTACTCCCTCCATCCCATAATATAAGAGCATTTTTTACACTATACTACATAATCGCCTTCAAGAACCAGAGCCAAGACTGATCTTGCATGTAGTCTTCGATCTTATGCAGGAAGAATTATTCCAACTCTCATTTAATGGAACCCCCTGCCGTACTGTAGTGGCTGCATAGACTTGGTGCAATCCAGTCTTGCTGAATGCCACTTGTATGATGCGACAAGGGGCGCCGTGTGGAAATTACGGTAACACTGACGTTGCTCATGTCTGAAGAATGTGTGGACACTGTCAGTTACCCCATAGATGGGGCAGAAGAGTCTTCTGTACCAACACCAGCAGTTCGGATATATGTTCCTGAGACTGCAGCTGCTATTGTTGTTATCCATTGCTTTGTCACAAACTGCCTTCCTGGCCCTGCACTTGTCATGAGAGACACAAATGGAGTAATTTCAGTTAAATTTAGCTCGAAATAAAAAGGAGAACCTCTATTAGTTTTTTGGAGAAGCAAATACTTTTTCTCACAACTGATGTCCATTTTCATTAAAAGAAGAGAAGTTTGCACTATGGATGAACATTCCATCAATATCACAAAGAAGCTAACTTGAATACATTCCGATTCCGTTGCAACAAATACACGCAAAAAAAAAATCCATAGGAGGAGCACAACTCAGCTCCCCGATTTCATCACGAATTCATTGAATGAAGTCTTTAATTTACAAGAACATACTTCCAAATTGAGTTTCCACCAGCATATGGCCATATGCGTGCTGAATAATAAGCAATAGATAGTTGTATTTGCTCAGTAATGATTAGAGCATATATAGATTACAAGTGCCAGCTGCAGTACACAAACTGAAAGATGGATCAGCGAAGAAGCACATGCAGGTACTCGCCAAGAATTTGTCGCATCAGGTACAGACATGCATGCGTACATGCAGACATGCCTAAGAATGCCAAAGAAAGTAGCTAGGCAACAGAAACTGATGAGCAGATTACTTATTTCACACAGCGTAAAATACGTGGACGAAGACGACATGCCTTGGCATTGTTGCAGTTGCACCCAGTGAATATGTTCCTGAAGCTGCTGTTGTTGTACTACTTGTCCACTGCTTTGCTATGTACTAGTGGCAAGTGGCAGCCCCTGTCCCTGTCACACACTGCCTTCCTGGCCCTGCACTTGTCATTACACGTTTATTTATTTATTTATTTATTATTACTCTTAGATGCGGATTCTGAAATAAAATTATTAACCACCTGTCCTAGTTCTTGGAAAGATTTCCATTTTCCCCGTGACGGGAGAGGTGAAAAAATAGCACCTTTATATCCTTCTCATAAAAGAGAGGAAATTTGCATTATGGATGAGCATTCATACATCCAATTCCAACGCGATGAATAAGACCCCCAAAAAGTGTCGATTACAGGAGAAATCTCAGCTCCCCGATTTCCTCACGAAACTGAAAGCAGTCTTAATCTTCTAATAAGTCGAATGCAGTCTTTAACTTACATCAACATAATTGCAGAATGCGTTTCAAGCAGCATATGCCTGCTGAATAATGAGGAACAGATACAGCTTATACGGATTACAAGTGCCAACTGCAGTACACAAACTGAAAAGCTCGAAAGATGGATCAGCGAAGAATCGGTTACATCAAGTACATGCGTGGAAAAAATGCGTAAATGCAGACATGCTGAAGAAGAAGATGACATAGATTGGCATTGTTGCAGAAGTATGCCGACTTCTTTTTTCTTCCTTGCGGCTAGGAAATCGTCGGGTCAGGGAAATATATCTCTATATTGTCCTTCAATAACCGGGTCCAGATTTGATCTTCTCGTCTTCGATCCAAAGCAGGAATCCTCAGTGAGCAAAATGTCTCTGATAATAATCGCAGAAGGTTCAGTCAGGGGAGTGAATGAACCTTTGTATCTTTGCAAACACTACCTCTTAATTCAGAATAAGTATGAAAGGCAAACATCGGTTTTCTTTGACAGACTTTAGATGAAAGAGCATGCATGTAGGATGAACTATAACTTATGTTAACAGAGAACAAATTGGACTCAAATTCGATCGAGTCCATGAGGACTTGAACCCTCCCTAGAGAGGTGGAAAGCACACATATCCTAGAACCAACATAATATACATTAATAGGAGGAAAAAGGAAACTGCATGATCATTCCTACTCTATTAATACGAGGGTCCTAGCAGTTATGGGCTTTGTAGTTGCATGTTTCTATTTCTACTCTAGATGAAGAAGGTACACATGGGCATGGTGAAAGGAATCACGTTAACTAGCTTTAGTAGACAAACTCTTAACAAATTCGAATCAGCCATTACTAGCTACCAATTGCTGTCTTATTCTGCCAACTTATAATATCTACACAAAAGATGAAACAGCGGAACCCTAACCTTGTGAATAGCAATGATCACCTAATCCTTTCCCAAAGCCCTTTACGGCTCAGTACAACTGTAACATTCCTTATATGGCTAATGTTCATTATATCTTCGCTGCATTCACCTGAATCTCTGGTATGTGTCTGTCAGAAATAATTCCTCAAGGGCTCTAAGATGTTCAATGCCACAAGGACGAAACTTTAGCTCGGGACAATATCTTAACCATAGGTGGGTGAGGTTTTGCATCGCGCCCTCCTCTATTTTAACCTGGCTGAGTTGTGTTGCGCCCAATATGTATAGATTCGTAAGTTCTGGAAATGACCCTGCATGAAAATCTAACCTCTTTCCGCCAAAAGCCTTCGCTAGCGAAAGAAAGTGTAAACCACTTAACACGCAGAGATAGGAAAAGTTGTCCTCGTCAATATTGGAGAATGCCAGGTCCAACCGAGTAAGGTTATTGAGGTGTGACCAAGAAGAGAAAAGTTGAGGCGTCGATGTTTTTTCTAGCTGCCCGGCTATACCAAGCCAAGAAAGCGTTGGAGGTAAATGTAGTCCTTCTAGCCGCAGCACCTCATTCTCAGTTGCAGCGACAATTTCGAGATGAATAAGATGGCTCATTCTGCTGATAGCATTGCTCAAGTCAGATGTTTGTTCACTTCTCACGTTGGAGACACTGAATGATCTTAGCTCTGTCAGAGCTGCAACTTCACGTAGAAACTCTGAACTGGCTTTGACAAACTTAAGAGACCTCAGTCTTGCCAAATGTTGCATGCCACTAGGCACCTTGACTACGCTTATGTTTCCAATTTCTAATCTGTCATGTCCACCATCAATAGATGCCATTAGGTATCTCAACTTTTGAAGTCTTACAACATTGTTTGGAAAATACGTCAGCTTGGATCTGGAAGCATCTAAGACTTCCAAGTTTTGTAACCTCCCCACTTCTTCAGGCAGGCTTTCAATCTCGGTATCTCTAATACCCAAATAACGCAGATTAAACAAGTTGAATACCTCACTGGGAAGCATTTTGATACGAGTACCTTGCAGATCCAATGTCGACATCAACTTTGAAGATGTTAGGATAGGCTTCAGCAAATCAGTATTGATATAAGTCCCAAATACATGGAGCACACGGAGATGTGTTGCACCAGACCGGCTCAGTTGTTCAAGGTTTTCCCCTAGAACCGTTATGCGACGTGCACCCTCTACAGAGAATGCTCCAGCAGAAGAGCCATTGTAAACTTCACCAAACCGTTCCTCCTTGGCTTTGTTGAGGGCAACAAGGCGTATGACATCATGCATCCGACAGTGTTTCAGTCGTCCGAGATGATTCCTTTCAACTACCTTTAATAAGCTTCTGTTCACAAGCTCAGTCAAGTATCCCTCGGCCACTTCCTCCAACTTGTTGTTCTCTTCCTTTCCCCTGATGAACCCTGCTGCAATCCACTGCCTCGTTGTCACCTTCCTCCTTAATACATAGTCTTCTGGGAGCAGTGCACAGTATAAGAAACAATTCTTCAAGTCGTACGGAAGATCCTCCAGGCTGACCTTTAGGATCATATGACAATCAGGCATTACATCTTTCGTCAACTGCGAATCCAAACCCCTGTACACATTCTCCCATTCGGCTGGAGTTTGGGGTTTGCAGGAGAGTAGGCGGCCAATGCATGCAATAGCAATAGGCAAGCCTTGACACTTTGCTAAAAACTTCGAAGCCAATTCTTGCAACTCCGGTGGACACTGTTGGTCAACATCATTCCAAAAAGCTCCTTTACAAAACAACACCCACGAGTGATGTGCTTTTAGTGGTTCCAAGTGAATTGTATGATCCCCAGTTGCCAAGCATGACACTTCATACTTTCTTGATGTAATAACAAATCGGCATGTGCAGTTAGAAGTTGGGAAGACCTTCCTTATCTCCAACCAAGCGTGTGCATCCCAAACATCATCCATGACCAAGATGTACTTTTTACCTTGAAGGTGATTATGGATAGACTTTGCTAGGACTCTCATCTCAATATTGGCCACATCAACCGCGATGCGGAACTCGGTGGCTATCTTCTTCAGCAGATCTTCAGGACTGTAACTCTCTGACACGGTTACCCATGCCGCTGCGTCAAAATCTAATTTCACCGTGTTGTACACATGATCAACCAGCGTTGTTTTACCAACACCAGGCATCCCCCACACCGTAGTGACTTTGCTGCTGCTCTGCTCCAAATCATCACCATCACCACTGCCAGGGATCAGCCACTCTACCAACTTTCCCTTGTTCTCCTCGATCCCCACAAGGTCCTCATCTCTGGTGAAATGCAGAGCTTGACTTTGACTCACCGATCTGGTAGCAGGAGAAGATCTGACGGTGTAATACTTCTTCCTCCGATTAGCATCTTCCAGCTTGGCTTCGATTTCTTGGAACTTTGCCGCCAGGCGGTACCAGGTCTTGATATGCTTGAGCCGCTTCCTGGCCTTGCAGGCGAACCCTCCATGCTTGCAGTCCTCCAGCTTGTAGGTGAACTCGTCGGCGACGTCCTCGATCTGGATGGCGAGGGTCCTGATCTCGCCAACGAAGATGCTAGTGGTCTTGTCGGTGTCCTTGAACCGCTCTGCCTCATGCAAGTAGGCCTGCATGCTCTCCAGCTCCGCCTTGGACGCACGGATCTTGCCAAAGACGTCCCTGTGGGCGGCGGCTTCTTTGGCGACCAAAGACCAGCCAAAGGACGCCGCCTCTGACGCCAGCGCTGCCCCATAGCGTCGCCACCACTACCCCAACAACAGCCTCCGCCATGGTTCTTGAGGCTTTTGGTGAGTATAAACTGGTTGTCTGAGCCCACAATTTGGTGGTAGCTCTGAGGAGTAAACTGGTTGTGTGAGCGCTGCCTCTAATGTCGTTGTAGCTAAGGCTTTACTTACTCGACTCCGAGCTCACAAATTTTTGAGTCCACAATCTGGCCATTGAATAATCAGCGTGAATGGAAGCCACAATTTGGTCTTTTGAAGAATCAACATGCATGCCAGACCACAGTTTGGTCATCCACAGTTTTGTGGCTGTTGAGGCTTTGAGCTCAGTCCACTCTTTTCTTATCCTCTTCCTCTTCCAGGTTGAGGCTTTTGAGCTTATGATTATTTCTTTTTATACTCTTCCAGGTTTTTTTTTGCCCATCTAAAAAACACTTATTTATCCTGTTCCAAATTGACAGCAGAACAGATACAACAAAACGTGCAATTTCAGAGGCCGCAACCATTGATCCAAGAAGTGAAGCTAAAACTTGAAATGCATGGAACCCTACAACCCCGGAATAGCTGAAATGTGAAAAGCATTGAATCCACCAAGTTGATCCCAAAGGCAGGCAGCAAGCATGTGCAGGTCACCCCAACCCAGCAGCAGCAACCACAGTCGGCCGGGGGCGGGCGCTCACCCCTCGCCGTGCCCGATTCATCTCAGTGTCCAAGGTCAAGAGGTACATTCAGTGAGGGCTTAGATTTTTTTTATTTTTTCCACTGTCATAGTTTCTGATTTAGTGTGTTAAATTGAAATAAGCGAAGATCAGATTTAGATTCATTGATGACTTTATGGATCACATTCACCTTTTTAGAATTCAGTGAGGACTGACTGAACTGCAGAGAAACATGGAAGTGTATTGTAGTCCCTCTGTATAAAGTTAGTACAAAGTTGAGACACTTATTTTGGGAGGGAGGAAGTAATACACAGGTTTATTTGCATCTTTGGGGGATAAATATGACAAGTAGCCCTTGAAATGCAAGTCAAACCCAATTGCAAATCGCCTACCTTGCAGACAACTGGTAGTCCGATTACACGGACGTACATTGCAGACAACTAATTGCAGGTTCTAGTCGTTGATTTAATGGAACCCTGTGCCACGTTTTGATGGTTGCATAATGCATATACATGCTGCAACCCAGTCCTGTCAAATGCCATTTGTACGTGCGACGAGGGGCGCCGCATGGTAATTCCAGTAACACTGACATTGCCATGTCTGAAGAATGTGTGGACACTGTCAGTTACCCAGTAGATGGGGCAGAACAGTGGGGCAGAATAGTCTTCTGTTCCTACTCCAGCAATGCTGATATGGTCCTGAAGCTGATATGGCAAGAGGCAGGCTCCGTCACAAACAGCCTTCCTGACCATGGACTTGTAATTACTAATTAGAGGAACAGATACGAGTAATTTCAGTTGAGTTTGAAATATTAAACTGTTTATTTATTAGAGGAACAGTAATTTCAGTGCTTGGATTATTCTCTTTTTTCTATCATGGGAGAGGTGTGAAGAAAGCATAATTCTTTCTTTTTGTAGAAGCAAATATTTTTTCAGGAAAAAAGAACAACTTTGCATTATTGGGTGACCATTCAATCAACATCCCTAGGATCCGATTTTTCAAATCGGAGTAAAAGAATAGTACATCTAGTGAACAGATACAACAAAAGGTTCATGCGCCATGGTTGCATGAAGGCCCCTCCGAGATGAAAGCACATCTAGTATGTGTTAACTCCTGGAAGCACACAGCCACAGAACAGATGAAAGAACCTAGGAAGAATTTAGTAGAAACAGTCAGTAAAGAGGGGGTCCAAAGCATAATATCAGCATGTCCAGCAGGCAAATTTGAGCCAAATGAAGCACCATCTTCGCTCATGGATGAGAGGAAGTGAAATGAACCTCGGTAACCGAGAGAGGGCAGACAACCTAGCTCCCTCCTCAGCTTCAGATTTTTCACATGTGAGTGAAAAGTGAACAGCAGCTGAGGGAACATCAGCTGTCTGTTCATAGTCACTGTCATCTCTCTGCATCGCGATTACCACCCATCAACCAGTCAGTGCAGGGGCTTCAATGCCAACCACAATCTGATTCAGCATCTTAAATAAAATCAGACAAAGACATAAGCAGAGGGACCCAGGTAATTAAGCTCTGGTTGGTGCTCAATCACAGCCACGGAAAGTGTACAGTTAGTACCTGCGAAACAACCACATAGCACAATGCCCCCAAAATGAGATGCACTATTAATTACTAGGCGATGCAGGTTGCAGATCAAAAAGGAAATTCAACCTCTTTGGTCTTTGGAGACAATTATAGCGGTAAGTAAGAATCAGGGTCTTCCGCTCATGTGTAAATATATTGCAAAACAAAGTTCAGTTTTTCTTCAGTAACCAATTCAGAACCTTTGGCTAATGACCAATTCAGTTTTTCTTCCGCATACAACGCTCAAGAAGTTTATTCGTGTATTCTGCATGCCTACTAAAACAGTACAGGAACAGGAGAAGGAATTAACTTATAAATAATCAGTGAAACCCAATTAAGATGCAGAAACCGGGATTTTACTCAACTAAACTGAACTGAAGGTGCAGCACAGGGGGGTGTAAGGATGTCGGCCACCTGCGCTGGGACTCACGCGCGGCCGCGATGAAGTTCTCCTCCAGCGGCAGCAGGGGAGGAGAGCGCCGTCGACGGCCGGACTGAGATTGAAGCGCGAGATTTGGTGAGGAGACAGCGCACGCCATGCCGCCAACGAGAGGAGATGCGAGGATCCTCCGTTTGAATGCCTGGGACAGAGATGGGTCTCACGAATCGCAATGGAGTCGCCGTGCTCTGAGGGCGCCCGACTGAGAGTGGCTCTGCTACTGCTATGCATGGTCACCGCTGGATCAGGATCCCACGGCCCTGATTGAGCACTACTCTACTCTCCCAAAAAAATAAGCTTGGGATTTTTTTTTGGAAACCCTCCTTTTCTAATTTTCCCCAGGAAGTAACAAACAAACCTTTTTTTTTGAGGGGGTAAGTAACAAACAAACAAAAGGGTTGGACCATCTCAAAAAAAAAGGTTAGATGGTTACTGTTATTATTGATCCACTTTGCAATAGCTTCGCGGCCACAGATAAATGGCCCGCGGTTAGTTGGTTTCAATGAGGATGATGCCTAATAATCAGGACTTGTTTCACACGTGAGAAAAAGAAAAGAAATGAACCTCGGTAACTGAGAGAGGGCAGACAACCTAGCTCCCTCCTCGGCTTCAATTATACGAGAGGGGAATTGGGGGCAGGCGAGTGAGTGGCTCTGCTACTGCTATGAGTGACTCTGCTACTGCTACTGCTATCGCCAGATCAGGATCACACGGATCATTTAAAAAAAATGGAAACCATCCTTTTCTAATTTTCCCCAGGAAGTAACAAACATTTTTTTTGATGGGGTAAGTAACAAACAAACACAAGGGTTGGGCCATCTAAAAAAGGTTGGATGGTACTGTTATTATTGATCCACTTTGCAATTCAAAGTGCGTTATATTGACTAGACGGAGGGGTGAATAGGCGACTTTTACAAATTCGTCACTGAGGAATCTCTAGGTGAAGAAATTCCTAAGCAATGACACGCTAGCAGCGGAATAGTACTCAGGTATAAATATAACAGAGCAACAACATAATCATCATGATGAAATGAAAACAAGCACATAGTACAGATAGCGTGAAAATATGATAAGCAGGCTGAAGACTAAGTGACTGAAGAATTAGGAATGAGGAATTACATAAAATCTTCAGTTAAGGTCTTCAAGCAGTAATGATCAGGTTCATCAACACATGAATGAGGAAATGAATGGGTTGAGGAAATAGAACCAGATGGCATGGTGAAGACAATGATTAGGTCGGTAGACCAGTTCCAACTGCTGTAACAGTTGGAGCGGCTGAGTATTTAAACTCGAGGACACACAGTGCCGGACACACAGTCCTCACCGTATTCTCCTTGAGCTAAAGTCACACAGACCTCGCCCAACACTCGTGGTAAGTCTTCATGCGACTTCCAAACCTTCACAGAATTGGTCACTCGACGATCCACAATTCCTCTTGGATGCTCAGACTATGACGCCTAACCCTCCGGAGGATACACAGTCCTCAAAGGTAACAAGTGTCGGTTCCACACAGGAACAATCTCTTCGGTAATGCTCTGCTATGTGATGCATGGTCACCGCTGGATCAGGATCCCACAGCCGTGATTGAGCACTACTCACCCCAAAATAATGAGCTTAAGAAAAAAAAATGGAAACCCTCCTTTTTCTAATTTTCCCCAGGAAGTAACAAACAAACTTTTTTTTGAGGGGGTAAGTAACAAACAAACAAAAGGGTTGGACCATCTCAAAAAAGGGTCGGAGGATACTGTTATTATTGATCCACTTTGCAATAGCCTCGCGGCGACAGATAAATGGCCCGCGGTTAGTGTGTTTCAATGAGGATGATGCCTAATAAGCAGGACTTGTTTCACACATGAGAAAAAGGAAAGAAAAGAACCTCGGTAACTGAGAGAGGGCAGACAACCTAGCTCCCTCCTCGACTTCAACTATTTCTCTTCTTTTTCCGCAAGCAAAACTTCAACAATTCTAGTATAAGTGTCCTCTCTCTACATAATAAGTACTACTACTTCCATTCCAAAACAAGTGTCATGGTTTTAGTTCATCTCTCCATTCCCACATAAGTGTTGTGGTTGTAGTCACAAAATGGCTCTGCTACTGCTATGCATGGCCATGGCTAGATCAGGATCCCACGGCCCTGATTGAGCACTACTCTACTCTCCCAAAAAAATAAGGTTGAGAACAAAAATAGGAAACCCTCCTTTTTTAATTTTCCCCAAGAAGTAACAAACATTTTTTTGATGGGGTAAGTAACAAACAAACAAAAGGGTTGGGCCATCTAAAAAAGGTTGGATGGTACTGTTATTATTGATCCACTTTGCAATTCAAAGTGCGTTATATCGACTAGAGGGGAGGTGAATAGACGATTTTTACAAATTCGTCACTGATGAATCTCTAGGTGAAGAAATTCCTAAGCAACGACACGCTAGCAGCGAAATAGTACTCAGGTATAAATATAACAGAGCAACAACATAATCATCATGATGAAATGAAAACAAGCACAGAGTACAGATAGCGTGAAAACATGATAAGCAGGCTGAAGACTAAGTGACTGAAGAATTAGGAATGAGGAATTACAGAAAATATTCAGTTAAGGTCTTCAAGCAGTAATGATCAGGTTCATCAACACATGAATGAGGAAATGAATGGGTTGAGGAAATAGAACCAGGTGGCATGATGAAGACAATGATTAGGTAGACCAGTTCCAACTGCTGTGACAGTTGGAGCGACTGAGTATTTAAACTCAAGGACACACAGTGCCGGACACACAGTCCTCACCGTATTCTCCTTGAGCTAAAGTCACACAGACCTCGCCCAAAACTCGTGATAAGTCTTCAGGTGACTTCCAAACCTTCACAGAATTGGTCACTCGACGATCCACAATTCCTCTTGGATGCTCAGACCATGACGCCTAACCGTCCGAAGGATACACAGTCCTCAAAGGTAACAAGCGTCGGTTCCACACAGGAACAATCTCTTCGGTGATGCTCTGCTATGTGATGCGTGGTCACCGCTAGATCAGGATCCCACAGCCGTGATTGAGCACTACTCACCCCAAAATAATGAGCTTAAGAAAAAAAATGGAAACCCTCCTTTTCTAATTTTCCCCAGGAAGTAACAAACAAACTTTTTTTTGAGGGGGTAAGTAACAAACAAACAAAAGGGTTGGACCATCTCAAAAAAGGGTTGGATGATATTGTTATTATTGATCCACTTTGCAATAGCCTCGCGGCGACAGATAAATGGCCCGCGGTTAGTTGGTTTCAATGAGGATGATGCCTAATAATCAGGACTTGTTTCACACGTGAGAAGAAGGAAAGAAAAGAACCTCGGTAACTGAGAGAGGGCAGACAACCTAGCTCCCTCCTCGACTTCAACTATTTCTCTTCTTTTTCCGCAAGCAAAACTTCAACTATTCCAGCATAAGTGTCCTCTCTCTACATAATAAGTACTACTACTTCCATTCCAAAACAAGTGTCATGGTTTTAGTCCATCTCTCCAATTCCCACATAAGTGTTGTGGTTTTATATAGTCACGAGACTTATTTTGGAACGGACCATAATGCCAACAACAGTCTGATTCAACTTCAAACATTGTTTGAGGACAATATCGCAATGCGGATAATAGACATAGAATGGACTTGAGGACAACGTGTGAGCATCAATCAAAACGGTCACCCGGCGTGCTCTCCTGCTCCGCCTTGGACTGGCGTATCTTGCCGAAGAGGCCCCTGAGGGCGGCAGCTTCCTTGCGCAGCAGTGTCCCAACAAAGGTTGCCGCCTCTTTCGCCAGCGCTGCCCCGAGCGTCATCACCAGCTGCCCGACAACAGCGTCCACCATGGCTATCGAGATTTTCTTTCTACTCAGATGATGGTTGTAGAGAGCAACTCCAACCAAGTGACCAATCTCACTCACCGAACTCCCATTCTGAGTACCAAATCCAAAGATTGTCCCCCATATTTCTTTGTGCAGTCCAACACACTCAGCAGATCTCACACACCTACATTTTATTTCATTAATTCCATATAGCCATTTAACTTCTCTCTGTCTCTCTCCACACAGGTTGATGGCTCGTTTGGTTGTGATGATGAAGAAGCTGTAAAATCAGTACAAACAAGAGCATCAGCGACAATGACATGAGTATGGAAATATCAGTAGAGCAGCATTGCAGCATCGATCTCTCCTCATTATCTATCTCTCCCACTCTGTAGTGGCATCAAGCAGCAGTCTCAACCAAATCTCAACTCACGCTCTCTGATGTCTCACCCTCAGCACAAGACAAGCACACACATCACCCAGAAGAAGGGAAGGACCAACTTGTACAGTAGCGCCTTCCAAGACGACACGCCTGGTTTGATTTGCACGCGACACAAGCTGAGACCAAGTAATTAAGCTGGTTGGTCCTGCTTGCTCAATCTCCACTAGTAGAAAACAGGGCTTTGGTCCAAGCAGGGAAAGCCCATTAATCACGGTTCACTCACGAACCGGGACCCATGGGGCATAGGTCCCGGTTCGTGAGGACAGGGGGTTGGCTGGGCCTCGTGGGGCATTGGTCCCAGTTCGCCTGGCCCCTTTGGTCCCGGTTCCAGGCACGAACCGGGACCAATGAGCCTCGCTCCTAGCCCACCATCATTGGTCCCGGTTAGTGGCTTGAACCGGGACCAAAGGTTGTCCTTTAGTTCCGGTTCCAGCCATGAACAGGGACCAATGAGTTGCCTATATATACCCCTTACCCGTGAGCAAAGCAGTGGTGTGCTTTGCTTTTTTGGGGAGAGGTGTGTTGTGCTCTAGCTCACCTCCTATGCACATGAGGTGTTCGATGAAATGCCCGAGCCACACTTAAGCTTTCTCCCCTCGAAGCTTCTTGTTCAAGCTCCATTTTTCTCAAGATTTCTCTAGGTTAGGTTGTCCGTCCTGTCCCGTCCCCGTCCTCACCGCCGTCGATCGCCCACGCCGATCTCGTCGCCGGTACCACCGTGGTGAGCCTCTTGCTCTTATCTTCTTTCTAAAAGAAAAAAGTTCTTACTTGTATGATTTAGATAGATACTTGTGTAGTTTTCTTATTTATTATTGTTTGTTATTATATAGTGCGATGGTTTTTGTATCTGCCTCTGTTGGCCATCGTCCTGTCTATGATTCGGATGTGGTATATATATTATCTTTTATAACTACTAGTTTCATTTAGTGTTTATGACAATTATGCCAAGCAATGTGACATAGTTTTTTGTATCTAGGAGGTATGTGAACCAAAAATTCCAACTGACCCTATTGTCGAGAGGTTAAATTTAGTTGAAGAAGAAAACAATTATTTGAAGGAAAAATTGAAAAATTTGAGGAGGAGAAGATGATATTGGAGTTGATGTTGCGGATGTCGTCGATGATCACAAGATCAAGATGGATACAATGCGCTTGAAGATTAGAAAGATTAGAAAATATGCCATTCATAGCGAGGCTTGGTATCATTATGCCGTTGGATCAATTGTTACCTTAGTTGCGATTGTGATCGCATTTGTTGTTGCATTGAAATGTTTTAGATAGTTTCAATGTATGGTTTAATTAAATGCTCTCGAGAGCTATATGTTATTCAATGAGAACTATGTATGTATTTTGGTTTTAATGTGATGATGAACTTTTATTAATTTGGTCACTTCTGTACTCATGATGTTCTGTACTGGTTTTTGACACACTTAATTATATATAATGCACGCAGATGAACCGACAATGGATGTATGATGACCGACGCATCTCCGAGTATATTAATGGCGTGCATAATTTTCTCGAAGTGGCTGAGGCAAACAAGAGAAATGGTTTTATGTGTTGTCCATGCCCTATATGTGGGAATACGAAGTCTTACTCTGACTGGAAAATCCTTCACAACCACCTGCTTTATAAGGGTTTCATGCCACACTATAATGTTTGGACCAAGTACGGAGAAACATGGGTTATGATGGAAGACATCGAAGAAGAAGAGGATGATGACAACTATGTGCCCCTTGAATACGGTGATGCTATAGCGGGGGAAGCTGAAGATTAAGAGGAACCAGATGATGTGCCCGATGATCATCTTTGCAGGGTCATCGTTGATGCAAAGAGACAGTACGAAAGTGTAAAGGAGAAGCTGAAGTTCGATTGCATGTTAGAGGATCACAAACAAGGGTTGTACCCCAGTTGCGAAGATGGCAACACAAGCTCAGTACCACACTGGAATTGCTGCAGTGGAAGGCAGAGAATGGTGCACCTGACAAAGGATTTGAGAAGCTACTGAAAATATTGATGAAGAAGCTTCCAAAGGATAACGATTTGCCCGACAGTACGTACGCAACAATGAAGGTTGTATGCCCTTTAGGATTGGAGGTGCAGAAGATACGTGCATGCCCTAATGACTGCATCCTCTACCGCGGTGCATACGAGGATTTGAACGCATGCCCGGTATGCGGTGCATTGCGGTATAAGATCAGACGAGACGACCCTGGTGATGTTGACGGCGAGCGCCCCAGGAAGAGGGTTCCTGCCAAAGTGATGTGGTATGCTCCTATAATACCACGGTTAAAATGTCTGTTCAGAAACAAAGAGCATGCCAAGTTGATGCGATGGCACAGAGAGGACCGTAAGGAAGACGGGAAGTTGAGAGCACCTGCTGACGGGTCGCATTGGAGAAAAATCGAGAGAAAGTACTGGGAGGACTTTGCAGGTGACGCAAGGAATGTATGGTTTGGTTTAAGCGCGGATGGCATTAATCCTTTTGGGGAGCAGAGCAACAATCACAACACCTGGCCTATGACTCTATGTACCTATAACCTTCCTCCTTGGCTGTGCATGAAGCGGAAGTTCATTATGATGCCAGTTCTCATCCAAGGCCCTAAGCCACCCGACAACAACATTGATGTGTGCCTAAGGCCATTAGTTGAAGAACTTTTACAACTGTGGAATGGAAACGGTGTACATGTGTGGGATGAGCACAAATAGCAGGAATTTGACATACATGCATTGCTGTTTGTAACCATCAATGATTGGCCTGCTCTCAGTAACCTTTCAGGACAAACAAACAAGGGATGCCATGCATGCACACACTATTTAGATGAGACCGAAAGTATATACCTGAAAAATGCAGGAAGAATGTGTACCTGGGCATCGTCGATTTCTTCTGACCAACCATTAATGTCGAAAGAAAGGCAAGCATCCCAAAGGCAAGGCAGATCAATGGAAGAAGCCCGCCGTCCATAACAGCGATCACATACTTGCTATGGTTAGTGATTTACAAGTAATCTTCGGAAAGGGTCCCAGCGGACTATCTGTTCCGAATGACGCTGACGGACGCGCACCCATGTGGAAGAAGAAATCTATATTTTGGGACCTATCCTACTGGAAAGACCTAGAGGACCGCTCTTCAATCGACATGATGCACGTGACGAAGAATCTTTGCGTGAACCTACTAGGCTTCTTGGGCGTATATGGGAAGACAAAAGATACACTGGAGGCACGGGAGGACCTGCAACATGTGCACGAAAAAGACGGCATGCTTCCAACGCAGTATGAAGGTCCTGCCAGCTACGCTCTTACCAAAGAAGAGAAGGAAATCTTCTTTGAATGTCTGCTCAGTATGAAGGTCCCATCTGGCTTCTCGTCGAATATAAAGGGAATAATAAATATGCCAGAGAAAAAGTTACAGAACCTAAAGTCTCATGACTGCCACGTGATTATGACGCAACTGCTTCCGGTTGCATTGAGGGGGCTTCTACCAGAAAACGTTTGATTAGCCATTGTGAAGCTAAGTTCATTCCTCAATGAAATCTCTCAGAAGGTGATCGATCCAGAAATCCTACCAAGGTTAAGGAGTGATGTGGCGCAATGTCTTGTTAGTTTCGAGCTGGTGTTCCCACCAACCTTCTTCAATATCATGACGCACATCCTAGTTCATCTAGTCGAGGAGATTGTCATTCTGGGCCCTGTATTTCTACAAAATATGTTCCCCTTTGAGAGGTTCATGAGAGTCCTAAGGAAATATGTCCATAACCGCGCTAGGCCAGAAGGAAGCATCTCCATGGGCCATCAAACAGAGGATGTCATTGTGTTTTGCGTTGTCTTCATTCCTGGCCTTAAGAAGATTGGCCTCCCTCAATCGCAGTATGAGGGGAGACTAAGTGGAAAAGGCACGCTAGGAGGGGACTCAATAATATGTAAGGACGGGCATTCTTAGTCTCAAGCACACTACACAGTTCTAAAGAATTCTACCTTGGTGACCCCGTATGTCGATGAACACAAGAACATTCTGCGCTCTATACACCCGAAGCAGTGTAACGACTGGATTACGTGTAAACACATCAGGACTTTCGAAAGTTGGTTGCAAACACGTCTCATGGGTGACAACACTATTTCTGATGAGATGTAGTCATTGGCTAGGGAACCATCTTCGACTGTATTGACTTACAAAGGGTACGAGATAAACGAGAATACAATTTACACGATCGCCCAAGATCAAAAGAGCACCAACCAAAACAGTGGTGTCTGCTTTGATGCAGCAACCAAGAGGGGAAAGGACACATATTATGGTTACATAGAGGACATATGGGAACTTGACTATGGACATGATTTTAAGGTCCCTTTGTTTCAGTGCGAATGGGTCAATGTATCGGGAGGCGGGGTACAGGTAGACCCACAACACGGAATGACAACAGTGGATCTGAACAATCTTAGGTACATAGACGAACCATTCGTCCTAGCCAATGATGTGGCGCAGGTTTTCTATGTGAAGGACATGTCTACCAAACCGAGAAAAAGAAAAGATAAGGAAGCGAATACATCATACGATG